AAATTATTATTTTATCTTAATAAGAAAAAAGCTAATATATCTGGAGATGTTTTAACTAGACTTTGGTTAACTTGCTAAATATGATGAACATTTCTTTTTTATTTCACAGAATATTTATGATTAGTGTGAAAACTTTTCAATTTATTCCTTTTCATACATCCACATTCTTCATTTTATTTGTTAATTATTTTTCAACTAAATAAAGCAAAGAAAACAAGACTATATAAAATAAGAACATTAGCTTTTTTCTTCTTTTGTATCCGTCCTCCCTAAATTGTTCTACTGTTAAGTGCTCGCTGTGTGGGCTGTCAGGCTACTAACGCAGGGGAGCTATCCCCTCTACAGAGGATTGAAATTGCGATGGCATGTCTTCCGATCATCCTCAGGGATGTTTCCCAGACCAGCACCAATAGCTCATTGTGCAGCTCTAGTGCGACATAGATAAAGTATCTACCTACCTAGCTTTTTTTTAGAAAAAAATACCTCAATGTTAAAAGTTAAAATAATATATAGTATATAATGAATTAATTTATAAAAATTCGCAGCAACATGCATTTAATAAAAATGAATTAATTTTTATTTCACTGAGATGTAGATCATACTGAATTTATCTTAAAAAAATATTAAAATAAAAAACAAGCTTGAATCTTTTGATATAACACCTACTGTACTCAATAAACATGAATTGAAAGAAAAAATAATTAATAAGTTTCTAATGCATGTAAAAAAAATTTAAATGCTTCCTGAAATGAATAAAATTTCCCAAAATCTACATGGTATAAGTTCAGAAAATTTTAAAAATTAGAAACAGCTTTAAAAAAATTTTTAAATATTTTTACCACTATTTTCAAAAAGAATATTACAACATATCCTAATATTAAATAGAAGCCAGAGAAATGTTTTCTTGTAGCCTGCACTGCTCAGAAAATCTATTGTTCTTTGAGGTAAGTTATTCTATACATCAGTGTTTCCCAAAGTAAGGTACGCATACCCCACAGGGGTACGGGAACAGTTCAGAGAGGGTGCACGTTCTTATGCGAAATATCTTGCAACAAACGAAATTTTTAAAATTTCTTATTCAAAAACAAAGCTAGCCAGGAAAATTTACGATTACATATTTTTCTATTGGCTATTTTATGCAGAGTTAACAGTTAATATTTAGTGGTGACAACAGCCAGCTGTGAGTTTTAACTTTTGCAAAATTTTTTATACTAAAAAATACATTCATTTCTTTTATCAGTGGTACACACACACACAGCGTAACGAAAAATTTAGAAGGGGTACACAAAAGTCATAACACTGCTATATACATCATTAGGCTATAACCATCAGAACTTAGATAATTTAAAATTAGAGATCATTGAGTTATCCACAATTTTCAAATTAGATTAAATATTTTTAGTGTAGTTTAAGAAGGGGAATGAAATGTCTGAAAAGGTAAATAAGAACTTCAATACCATAAATTAAGTGCTATGTTTAAACAAATTAAAAGTCTTAAGAAAATTTTGCATAGTTAGTCATACATTAAAGCATGCTTTTAATGAAGAAGATGTACCTTGCTTTACATGTATCAGTGCTTTAATGCACTTTGTAACCTGCCGACACAGAAAGATAAAAAATATTTATAATCTTTTATAATCGAACATATTGATATTAATGGTATGTGGGCCAATTCAAAAAAAGTATTATAGACTATTAATTGAGCATTCTTACTTAATTTCATTTTACAACAAAGTAAGAAATTAAAACCTTGAATTCATCACATTTTTTTAAAAGAATAATTACATACAAAATTTAAAAGATATACAGAAATATTAAAATTAAATTATCATTTTGAAAATTAATGAAATTATGATATAATCTAAAAAAATTAACTTCTAAGCACTAATAAAAATAATTTGTATCACTTAGAAAAATTGTTAATACTTATAAAAATTGTATCAATTTTTCAAATTCCATGCAATTAGAAAAGCCTTAATTGCATTAAAATCTTTCTTTCAAAAGCGTTGGCATATCAAGCATGACGATATAATTTGGCACTACATTGTTAACAAAGATTAACTCTTCAGACTAACTTATAGAAGTAAATTAATTTAAGCAAGATAATGAAAATTGTTAATTATCATACGAATTAAAAGGTTTTTGATTTTCCAGGGGTGATAGTGGGCCCAAGTCAAAATTCCAGAAAATTCATTGAGTTAAAAAAAAAAAAAAAAAGAAAGAAAGAACAGTTTAATTGAAAAATTAGAAAAAAATTTAAACAAGGTTTTTTTCTGTTTTCTCAATATTTCTTAGTTCACTTAAAAATATTTATAATTTTACACATACCTATACCATTTACACATACCTGGAGAAGTAATTAAAATTTACAAATATGTCTTTCTTTCTTGTGTTTATGATTATAAGAACTATTTACTGATAAAAAATGAAAATTAATCATGAATATGAGCTTATAAAGTATCTCTCTGTCTCTCCCTTATAAACAAATAAAATAAACTGTGTTTTTAAGTTCCACCTTTGAAAATTTGATTTCTGGGAACTTCTGTGATCAATGATTTTTTGAAACATCTGGCTTTTGAAGCTTCCGGATCACTGTTAGCGAAAATTCTGGAAATCCGGATTTTTTCCGGAGCACAATCAGCCCTGATTTTCTTTCAAATATTGAAAGACTTCGAAGAAATAGTTATTTATAAAGCTAAAGAGAGATAAGCGTTAGTATACATTAAGAAGGAAATCTATACATTTTATGAATATAGGTAACTTAAGTTCTATTCGAGAGAGCATTTTTAACAAAAAGAAAATTATAGTTCTTAGGACACCATCATAAAAACAAACATCTAAAACTGATCATTATCAAGATTACATGAATTTCTCACATAATATAAAGATACTAATTTACATATTCTCTGAATATTTTAAAATTTATTTAAAAAATACAGTAGCGCAATGCAGCATGCATGCAATCAATTCACTTTTAGCTTTGTTTGCATAAACAAGAAGAAGAAAAATCTCCACATGAAAAATATGCATAGTTCAAAAATTTAAAGAAAATTTATAACTGATATATACAATATTTATTTAAAAATATATACTCTGAATTTAAATATTTTTATACATATTTATAAATAGTTTAAACTGTGTCAGTCAATATATAAGAGTAATTTTATACATTAATTATATTAATACTATAAAATTTAATAGCTCACAAACTATTTAAACATTTATATTTAAAGATTTCTAATATTAATAAATTATAATTAATAGTCAAATAACAAAATCAAACAAATGAAAAACACGAAGTAAAGTCTACACTATGTAAACGTTGTTTAATTAATATGCAATTATATATTCAAATTACTTTAGCTGCACAGTCAGCAAAAAAAATAATAATAATAAATAGTTTAGTAATTAGATATAAGTTTACAACAGCTATTTAAATTACAATTATTAAATTTAACTATTTGTAAACTAATCTAGGTACTTAATTGTTAATAAATAACTGCATTGATAATCTCATAACACGATTAGAATTAAACAAGATGTGGAGTTCTATTCATAATTGGAAATCATTTACCCATCTCTTAGACATATTAGCTTACTTCAGTTGTTTATAATAAAAAGCTTGAGCATTGTTCTACCTTTACTTTAAGAACTCATTAAAGACTAACAATTTACTACATTACAAGTTCCAATTTGAACATCTAATAAATTATTTTAAGTACTGTAATAACTAAAATTAACAATCAAGTGGCAGCACCACAGCTGAACTAATGATAAGCACAGTACAGAACTAATGATAAGTGAAGATCTAATTGCATTAATGATGATTTATTTTGCAAATTTATAAATATCAGCTCATTATTAGAACTGATGATAAGTGGAGATCTGTTTTGATTATTGATCTGTTCTTTTGCAGACCCTAGAAATATTAGTTAATCCCTATAAATTTATTATTATACTTACAAAATGTTTTTCATATGAAATAAAGTAGCCTATATAAGCTATTTGTAAACAATTTTAAGTACTTAGTTATTAGGACTAAAGTATCCAATTTACATTAAAAATTTTGCAATTGTTAAAAAATACAGTGGTTTGTTTAAACTATAAAGCAATTTTTGCCTCTATTTAGATGCTTAAAGTAAATACCCATAATTTACTACAAAATTTATAACTGTTCAAAATATTTAAATAAAGTTTGGTGCTATGTTTATGAATTTAAACTGCAAATATAATTATAACCAGGGTTGGCAAGCTTTTGACACATGACGGTTTTTACCAGTTTATACCATGGTTTTTACCGTCATGTCAAAAACCCATAATTTTGGTAAAACTGTATTTTTATTTGAGTTAAACTGCTTATAATTTAAAATTAATTCATTTTTGGGCAATAAAGTTAGAAAAAAAGTTGTTAAAAGATATTTAAGAACTGATTCTCGCATTTTCCTAACATGATTATATCAAAACATACTATTTGAAGTAAAATATTAGAATACTAAACAAAATTTTCAACATTTCCAAGCATCATTTTGTTCGGCATATTACATTACTGAAGAATGTCAAGTTATTCTTGACTTAGAGTTTGTTAGTAGTTACAAGTTTTGTTTAGCTTATTTCTAATATTTAAGAAACGCCAAATTTTAAATTCTTCTTTTTTGTTCTTGAATTTATTAATAGTTCCACGCTTTTTTGTTTGTTTGTTTATTTCTAACAATTAAGAAGTGCAAAATTTTGAATCCTTCGCAAATCAAGCTATAATGATAAAAGTAAGTATCACTATTTTCAATAAGTATATTACAATATTTCTATATGAATGTATATCCTTCTATAAGAATACATGTATATAGTTGCAAAATCAATAGCAATCATTTACAACAATCATTTATAAAGGCAATTATGTGAAAATAATATATTGTCCGCTATATGCCATAAATTAAAGAAAACAGTAGGTTTTTGACAGTTTTTATCGGTAAAAACACGGTTTTTTAAGGCAAAAACCCAACCCTGATTATAGCTATAATTATATTTTATAACTATAATTAATTCTGAATTAAATAGCAAGACCAGAATTTAACAAATGAAAAACATCTACCTTGTAATTGCGGCTGATCTATCCATTTGCAAAGATATATTAACTGTACAGAAACTTGCATTCTCTACTAACTTTGTTTATAATTCATTTAAAACAGTTTTAATTGATTAATATATGGCACAACTAATGAAAAGTAATTATCACACATAAGCTTCGTTACGCTGCAGCCTTCGGCACAATCCCAAATACACATTTTTCCAAGTAGTAAAAGTTTTGCCTGACCAGATCCAGACACCAGATGTAATACCTACCATTAATGTCATTAAATATTTTATCATAAATGCTGGAAAATCTGGCTTCGGCCAGTAGTCATAGTCATGTGGCACATCAGGACAAGGTATGCTGTACATCGGGCGCTTACACTTGTCTTTCTGCCATGTTATCATCCAAGAATCGTAAAAGTAAGTCTCGTAAATGTAGCACGCAATCACTATCACTGCTGGTACAGTATAAAGTACAGAAAACACGCCAATACGAAACATGAGCTTCTCTAGTTTATCAGTACGTGTTCCATCATGTTTCATGATTGTTCGGATATGGCAAAGAGACACGAATCCAGCTAGGAGAAATAATGTCCCCAAGACTAAATACACACTTAGAGGTATTAAAATAAAAGCACGCAAGGAGCTTTTGTTCCATAATCCAACAAAACAAACACCACTTAGAATGTCACCTTCAACTTTACGTAGAGCTAGAATTGCGATAGTTTTAATTGCTGGCACAGTCCAAGCAGCAAGATGGAAATATTGGGAGTTGTTTTCAATTGCTTCGTGTCCCCACTTTAATCCAGCACTCAAGAACCATGTGAGAGTTAGAATGACCCACCATATAGAGCTAGCCATGCTGAAGAAATATAGAACCATGAATAAAATAGTGCAATATTTGTTTTCATTGCCTTGTCTAATCGTTCGCACCATTTTGATATTAGTGCGATTATTTGGAGACGGGAATGGGTCATTACAAGATACTTGCTCATCAACAACAAAACCAACAACATAAGCAGCAGCTACCATGAAATAACAAATTGATAAAAATATGATGGGTCTTTCCGGGTAACGGAATCTGTGCATGTCTACTAGAAAAGTTAAAACAGTGAAAGATGTAGAAACCATACACAATATTCCCCACACACCAATCCATGTTCGGGCAAATTTTCTTTCTTGAGGTGTGAAAAACATTCCATCACAAGGTGCACCACAATCTTTTTCTTCAGCTTCACCCACTTCAAACACATATCCCAAACCAGTCGGAACTTTAAACTCTTCAGGACAAATAAATTTACGTCCTTTTAAGATGGTAACATTATTATTGCGTATAGAAGTTGTTGGATAATTACCAGCTCCAGATGGAGGATGTGGGGCTCTATCTGTATTGTTTTCTCCTACACACAAAGCTTCTTCTCCGGCCTCTGGGAACTTATCACAATCCAAACTTTTAGGCCACTGGAAACCAAAATTATTCATTAATCTCTCGCACCCCTCTCTAGCTTTTAAACACAAAGATCTACACGGTGGTATAGCTTTTTCAATGATGGTACAAACTGGTGCATACATGGTACACAAGAAAAACTGTAGATCGGGGCTACACTGTACCTTCACCAAAGGAAAGAATTGATGCACTTCTAATCCAGCATCTTCTTGTTTTTGGTGGTTTAAAAGATTAGGCATTATTGTCTCATTGTATGGTATATCTTTACATAGAGGTATGGTGATGGGTTCGCATCGACCATGGTGAGGAATCAAACTTTCACGATCGGAAACTCGTGAACTCACGATTTGTGCGTTCCCTCCATGTTGAACGGCAGCAGTGGCGAGGACGAGCAACACCGGTAACCAAGACACAAACAAGATGACGGCCATGTTGGGAGAAGGGAAACTTCTTCAACTTTAGAGCACTAGGTGTTTACAGCTGACATGTCTTGAGTCAATTGGAACCATTCTTCATTTATTCGAATAATAAAACATGAACTATTATTCGGGGTTTGGATGCAAAACGCTTTCCATGAGAGGATAATCCACAGTTTCGGTATCTCAGATCGGTATGTCCGCTAAACTCAAGTGGACGAGAGTCTCGTTTACCCATTCACCCCCAACTCTACCGTGATTGGACGATTGAGGCGCCGCTAGGGCTGAGCGCGTTTCTCTCCTTGCTCGCATTTAATGGGCTATTTAATGATACGATAAGTTATTTTTAGGTCTGAATCCAGTTGTAATCGAAAATAGGAGATAAATTCTTATCATAATATTCAGAAAAAGGGACCTCGTTTACCCTTGGATTTTTGATAAAACTTCATTATTTCTTTGATAAAATTCATCGATACCGCAGTTTTTTATTAATAGCATTTTTTTTGTCAACATAAAAAAAATAAACATTAAGTACGAATTTTATTAGGAAATATTGTTTTTTATGTGAACGGTCTTTACAATTTTTATACTAGCTGTTTTTTATTATTATACTAATTATTAATTATTAAATATTATGATTTTAAATGCAAAGATAAGAAACTTAACTATAAAGTGGTTATAATTTAAATTTTAAAAAGGAGGCAGTTAGAAGCAAAAGTTTCTTTAGCAATGCATGTTATTTTCAATAAAGTGTACATAAAATAATGGAAATTTTAATGTTTCCCCACTAAAATATTATTATTAATTTATTATGCGCATAGATTTCATTCCATTTGTGATCTTCTACTGAAAAACGGATTTTAGAGAAATATGAATGTGCTTAACAATTTTTATTCGTAGTTTTATGCTAGTTTGGAAGTAAAGAATTTTATAAGGGAAAACAATTTAGCAGAAATATATTTACTTCATTACTCATGCAAGCATAATAGGCACATTAATCAACACAAAAATTTATTTTAAAAAAAACTACAAATCACTTGAATTCAGTAGATAAATGTAAATAAATCATCATTCGCAGGATTGATTTTTTTTATACATTAATAATCGTGTATTATATTATAATAACTATTTTCCTTTCAAAAAAATGAGCAATTTATTGAGTATAATCTTGCGACACAATTTAAAAGTGAATTTATTATCTTACTTTCTTGTTTAACTTTTTTTCTTCATAAAAATTCCATTGAACTGTTACACATTTTATTAGGAAATTTTGTATAATATCGTTTATTGATTTAATAGTGGATTTTACATTACATTTTATTTAATCATTAATCTATAAAGAAGACGAATGATGAACAGATACATCTTGTTTTGCGCCAATTGTTTTTTTTATTTCATTTTCATTTGTTTATTTTCTTACCGTTTCCTGGTAAAAATGACCTATTTATAAAAAGCAATAATAAATCGGTGTTATAAAAGATGTATTAATTACGTTTTGTTATCAATAAGTTATAAATAAAATATGTTATTAAAATAAAAATAATAAAATTGCTATATATTTGTACTTAGATACGACAGTCATTTACTTATGTCAGGAGAATAAATAATCTATTCAAGTGGTTCAATATTTTGTTGTTGCAAAACTAGATAACGATATTTATTCTGATATGAAATTAAAACTTAACTTTTGAATCAAACGCATTTAATTTGAGTCACCGAATGCAATACTTTTAGCTCATTAAATATTTAACAACAGATACTTTTCTGAAAACGAATTTAAATTTTTACATAATTGATTAATAGTTTGAGATAAAGATAATTTTTATTGAATTTTAATTGCATTGGTCCAACGTTTATTTCACGTAATTATCATATACGTATTATAATTTTTCTAACACTTTATTACTAACATTATATTATATTAATGTAATTTAATATTAATAATTTAATATTATATTAATATAATTTAATGTCAAAATTAGTTACAATGAACTAAGGACATTTTGCAAATATATTTTATAAGGACCACCGAACTCTGTCACTTAGTCTCCGTCGTCAAATAAAATTATGCTTTTTGCGAATAATATGCTATTTTCATAACTGCTGTGAGTTTGTAAAATTTACACAGTTTTTGTGAAAATGAAAAGCGTTTGTGTTCTAATTTTTTAATATTTAAAAATTTACTTAAATGTTGCATCATACTAGGCTCATAAAAAACTAATTATAGGTAAAAACTAATTACACTGCAGTGATTTTGATAATTTTCATCTGGGTGGGAAAATGCCGCCAAATTGGCGATTTTTAAAAAAGTGTAATTTTTAAAATATTTAAGTTATTTATCTGTTCTAAAGCTCATAAAATCCTTTATGGTACGATGATATACGCAGTTTAAATTCATCGCTTTGCTACAAGTGTAAAACAAAAATGTGGCTTTTTTTTATTTTCTTCAACTACAGAGCTTCGAAAAACCATGTTAATATATAAAATATTGTAACTACGAGATATATCCACTTGGTATTAACAGATACATAATATCATCGTTTTTATGTAAGAATTTTTCCTATGTAAAGCAATATTGTGACTATGTGGCGTAACTACCACTACAAATATTAAATACCAAATCAATAGTATATAAGACATGTTAACTTGTATCTATCACGAGGTACCTTTTGATAGATGAAGGTTGGCATAGTCGATTTATAATTCCCCACATTGGTGACCTACGGACGTGATAAGAAATTGTCAATATTGATGGATGAATCCACATTAAACAGTTGATATGCTTAATTTAAACTGCTCAAAGAAAAGAAAAAAAGAAATCCGGTGAAGTAAATAAAGTCTCCCGGTTAATAAATAATAATGAGCGAAATGCTAGGAAAAAAAAATAGCGAAAAAGCTATAAAAAAAATAAAAAAAAATAACGAGCGAAATGCTTGGAAAAAATAAGAAAAATAAATATAATGAGCAAAAATTGAAGTTAATAAATAAAACAGCATTAATCAACTAGTGGTAATCGTTCATCGAATTCTATCACAGATACAATTCTGGAAGGGGAGTAATGTGGCGTAACTACCACTACAAATATTAAATACCAAATCAATAGTATATAAGACTTGTTAACTTGTATCTATCACGAGGTACCTTTTGATAGATGAAGGTTGACATAGTGTAAGATTAATTCCCCACAACTAGGCATTAATGAGTTAAGTAAAGTTTCGAAAACATCGAAAGATTAAAATGAGTAATAAACTTTGTTTTATCGTTGTTTTAATTCCTGGTTGTTAAAGATGAGCACTTTTTAGAAAATTTTAAAAAATCGAATGCTAATTTCACACGAAAAATATCGTTGTAATTTGAATTTCCTTCGGAAAGATTCAATTTATTTTTCCAAAAATACATGCACGTGGCGCTAGATGGAACGAAAGCTTTTACTTGTGAAAAAAAAATTCTAAATTTTTTATTTCATTTGATGAAAATATCTTAAACCGTAAAAACAATGACGTCCTTCATTTTGTGATTAATTGTATGAAAATAGCTGTTAAATTTGAATGAAGTTAAACTTTCAAAGAAATTAGTGATTTGTGTTTCATCTTTTTCTGCCTCTAACTGTTTAAAACAATTAATATTGCGAAAATTCATCACAAATAATTAGTAATTATAAATTTTTTAATATGATTTTAGAAAATTTGTTTGATAACACGTTAAAATATTGGATGCTGTAGCTTGCAAATTTTTAACATACGTAAGTAATAAATATTACATATAAATAATAAATGAGCTAAAATAATTTTTTGCAGTTTTTAACATATTTTGCTCATTGTAGCTCAAATTATTGGCCGTTTTAAAGGTAACTGAAAAAAAATTTTAAAAAATTAATGGTTATAATATAAAACTAGGAGGCTCCGCCCCCTGCTCGCTAAGGCTCGCCAACCCCCGAAAATTGCTACGCAATCCTATGTGGTTCACGCCGTGAACCATGGCTCGCTGAGGTCGCTCGCCAATGAACACAATGTTCTAGCACAAAGACATAATATATTATCATCAAAGACATAGTATTTTATCATCAAAGACATAGTATTGTACTTATGTAGAAGAATTCTATCAATGTTCTTATTGGCTTTTAAAAAAGTATATTAGCTATTTAGATTGTACATGGTGAAATAATCAAAACATTAGCTAAATAAGAAACATATTAGCAAAATAAATTATCAAATATTGCTTCACTAATATTCTGCATTTTAAAGCGTGAAAATTCAATGCATAAATAAACGCGAAATATAAAAAAAAATTCAATGCATTCAGTACAAACACTTAAACGTTTTTTAGACGTTTAGGTAGCTCCCAGTAGAAAAATATCGATTCAACAGCTGCCTTTTAAAGCATTCTCACTTCAATTAATTAATTAATTCCTAATTGAGTTTAAATTAAATATTGTCATGTTTTTAGTGCATGAATCTGAATTGAACAACCTGATAATGCTCACTCTGGTTATTGTTATCTGGTTGCTCACTACGTGCTCTTGCGCGACGAATCCAATCAATTAAAAATGAAAACTGTTGCCAGCGCGAGAAAAGAAATATCATCGGTTTTATTGATACATACATACATACGTACGTACGTATTAGCGTTTTATATAATATAGATTTAGGCCTTCGAGAGCGAATAGTAACAAATAAGTTTTAAAGGAATTCCTTTTTACGAGTTTTGAATTTACTGGCCTGTAATCAATGTCACTTCACTTCAACACCTTGTTTTTCAGTAATTTGTCCTACTGCACAGTGTAAACAATAAACAGACAAATAATCAGCGGTGCGTTTGAGGGTCAATACGTAACCGATCAGCTCCCGATTCGCCACCACTTGAATCATCATAATTGCAAGGAGACACAGTTGAATACTTAAATGTGACTCATTACCTTCGAATTTAAAACAGTTTTAAAATACTTTGAGGCTGATTTTTGAAGACACAAATCTTCTTTTAAAATCCAAAATGTTAATATTTTTACTGCGATGCAACTTTTTATTGGGATAAATCTATTGTCATCAAATCGAAGTTTCTTAATACACATTATTATTTTCTGAACAAAACTTACATTATTCATTCTTAATTCCAATATTATTGTACAGAGAACAACAAAAAAAAATGAAAAAACGAAAAAAAGAGAGAGATCTTAGTAACTTTTATTCCAATGGTCGGATTTTCACAAACTTGAGGTTCAAAGGAGTGACCTCAAATATGCTAATTAATTAGTGCTGATCATAAATTGAGGAAATCAAACACAAAACGCACT